TTATTGTTTTTAATTTTTGACGTTTCATTATAGCCCGCTGGGTCATAATAACGCCCGCGGGCTATAAAAAGACGTTTACGTCAAAGAATTTTTGTTATAATTGTCATATTATAATGTCATCGTGCATAAACGAAATTTAGAGTGTCTAGAACAAGAGCTTTTTTTGGCTAGGCCTAATAAAAACGAAAGTAGTCTAGATTTTGCTAACGTTTACAAGTTTTAAGAAGTACTATAGCTCAAAAAGTCAATTCTCCCAATAATACAGAATTGACCGCAGCAGAAAAAATAATTTATCTAAAACAATATGAACAATTAACTTTAAAAACATTTATAAGATCTTTACCTTCTCATATTCAATTTTTGTTAAGAATTAAAGAACCAGATCGTCTGGAAGACGCAATGACGATTATTATAGAAGAGGAAAATTTTCAATACTCCCAAAATTTCTTTAAAAACTCTTTTATTTCAAAACCGCAACATTTAAACACTAACAATCAAGCTTATTATAAAGAACCACAAGTACCCCGTCAACAATTTCCAAGATTTTCCATGTCGTCCTCTCCAATGGCAAACCCTCGATTCTTACAACAAAACACTCAAAGATATCCATATCAACCAATACAATCGAACGCTCAAAGATATCCCCATATAACTCTAAAATACTTATTAATGCCAAAAAAATGGCTCTTGTTAATATTCCCGTATCACAAGATAATTGCGACATTATTATTCCTGAAAATAAAACTGAAAACCTATATTGGCCCGAAACACTTAGCATAGCAAAAATGGTTTTGCTAAAACTGAAATTCACAACTATTCAGAACCTGTTAAAGTCTGTGCATTTCCAGATTCACATAAAATAAATTTTGAAATATTTCAAATCGACGATTTTAAAGTAGATGTTAAAAATCATAGATTACAAAACATCAAAAATTTAATTAGACATGACCATTTAAATTCAGAAGAGAAAACGGCTCTTATAAACCTTTGCTCCGAATATTCCGACATATTTCATAGAAACAAACAAAAGCTTTCATTCACAAATAAAGTAAAGCAGGAAATAAAAACCACAGACGCTTTATCCCGTGTTGAAATTAACGCTCCGGTGACATCGACGAAATAATTAATGACCTACCAGAAGTAACAGTAGAAGATCTAGACAAATTAGAACAAATTTTTGATCCAAAAAATTACGATAAACCCAAAATTAACATAATTTCAGATATCCAAATAAGACCACCTTTTAGCGATAACGAAACTGTCCATTCAGCAGTAGAAAATCCCATCCTAGGCATACGCATTACAGAAAATTGTACAAACCACTACTCAAACCAAATTATTATTCAACAAAAAGCACAAGCCACTTACCATATAATAAAACAAAAACTATTCAAAACGAAAAATCGAATAACTGTATTTTTAGGAAAAAATTACGAAGAGGAAATTATTAAATTTTTCAAAAATTATATTGAATCCACAAAAATACATTGTATTTTTATTCAAAAATCGGAATTAGACTTAATTCCTATTATAAGTAACACTCTTGCCAAAACATTTAAAAATAACGCATATCGATTAACCTTTTCAACATGTTTACTAACCGACATCGAAAACGAAAATAGACAAAAAGAATTAATAAAATACCATCATGAAAAAACTTGTCATCGTGGTATAAATGAAACCCTCTTAGCCCTTAAACAGACCTATTATTGGCCCAACATGAAAATAAATTTAACCGAATTTATTAACAACTGTGACATCTGCCAACAAGCTAAATACGATCGACATCCACCAAAAATTAAATTTTCTCTTACACCTACTGTAGAATAGATTCCAGAGGTTGTGTTGGTGTAACACCAACACAACCTCTGGAATCTATTCATATGGACACTTTTCAGATAGCCGGTACAAAATTCCTAACAATAATAGACGTTTTTTCACGCTACGCAGAAGCTTATGTTTTGGAACCCGTTTGTAATTCACACACGGTTTTTGAAAACATTCTTAACTTTGTTTCTCATTTTGGAATTCCCCAATCAATAACATGTGACAACGGAACAGAATTCAAAACATTCCTCTTAATAGACTTTTGCAAACTCCACAATGTAAAATTACATTTCACAACCGCCAGAAACTCTAACAGCAATAGCCCAGTAGAACGTTTTCATTCTACATTAATTGAACTATTCAGAGTCTTAAAAATTAAAAATTCCAAATCACCAACTAAGGAATTGATACAATACTCTATAATTGGCTATAACTCATCAATACGTAGTGTAACCAAACAAAAACCATTTGATGTTATCAATGGTAGAACAAAATCCTTAGACCCCTTCGATCTGACCGACGAAATTATACTTAATCAGTTTTTAATTGAAGGGCTCGGGGAAGAGGGTGTAAAGCCACTTATTTCAAGTTTGGAGTAATTACAACTTTTATGTTTTAATCAAATCCTGAAATCATAATTATAAAGCAAGCGCAAAAATATTTATATAGTTCTATATTTGCATTTAAAAGTTTTATAAAATGTCAAAAACAAAATAAAAATTTGAACAAGTAAAGAAAAAATTATATAAAATAAAAAAAAAATGTGGCTTATTGCCATTTTTAACAAAAATAAATGAACTTAAAATATTTTTAAACGCGGCTTAATCCTAAATCAAATCATGTTCGGTTTCTTCGTCAAGATGTTCTATGTTATCCTCATCTACGAGTACATCATTAGCATCCAAAAAATTATAAAAAATAAAAAAAAAATGTGGCTTATTGCCATTTTTATCAAAAATAAATGAACTTAAAATATTTTTAAACGCGGCTTAATCCTAAATCAAATCATGTTCGGTTTCTTCGTCAAGATGTTCTATGTTATCCTCATCTACGAGTACATCATTAGCATCCAGCTGCACGTCTCCTACGCCGAGTTTGGTATAAAAACCATGATAAATCACGGGGACAAAAGGAAGAAGCGCCTTCACATTTTTAAGTTTTTTTCTGATTAATTTTTACTAATGCATTATATTTTAGTGGTAGTTCGTTAAGTTTAGGGTACTTTGAAACTTGCACACCTCTTTTTCCAATACTTACAGGTATAAAAGCTTCATTTAAGTAATGTTTAATGAACATTGTTTTAGGATGCTCCGCCTCAAAACGAAAGCATCTTACTTTACTAAAATTCAACTTTTCTTTCGTATCTGTTACATTCTTTTTGTTAATAGAATTTTGAATATTTTCAAAAGAATAATAATCTGCCTGGGTCATTGGTACGACTTCAAACAGATTTTTTATTTTTGCATCTTTAACAGCCTCATACCACTGATCTGGGCAGTACACCTGTTTTAAATATTTTTTATGCTTTTCAATTGCGGCAAAATCCCTATCAGGCGGTAAATGTGTGTGCCCCGGTACGAGAAATCGGTGTTCAATGCTCTTAAATTTTTTTTCTCTGACCATCTGTACCCAAAGAGATATTATAGTCCAGTTTTTATTTTGCCCTCCACAGTTATCAGTGAACACTAGAAGTTCTTCTGCTTGGGGGGCATTATCATTAATATACTTTAAAATGGCACTTGCTACCTCTTCGCTGCCACGCTTTGCTATGTGTTCTGGCCACATGTACATAGATGCCTTGCCAGTGTTGCAGTTATGCACACCAAGATTATACATCCACGCTTTCCTTAGATAAAATGCCTTTCCCACCGTTAAATCTGGGATTGGCAGAGCTTGTTGACGATCGAATGATATTATATGTTTATTGTTGTTTTCTTTTTTAGCGTCAGCTATTTCAGTTTTCATATTTTTTTGCATAGCTTCCGCCATTCGTTGGTGTAATTCAAAGTCGACTTGAAGTTCTTTCAATTTTTCTTCGTTATTTTTATTGGAGTCTATTAAAATTTTGTGTCGATCACATGTTTCGCAAGTATCGCTTTTGGGGAGCTTGAAACCAATATTATAGCGACAACAAAAGATTCTTCGGTAAGAATCTTCTTTGGCAGGCAAAATACCTTGTTCTGTGCACCATGGTTTATAGAATTGCTTATAAAGAGAAGCGATTGAGAGATCATGATCAATATAGACCCGATTGGGATTACATTTTCTACTATAGTGGCTTGTATACTTAGGAATAGCCTTAATATGATCATGTACACTCTTTACCATTTCATCAGGTAATCGGTTTTTGCGGTTGTTATGTTTACCGCGTTTGTCGCAGTTTGGAATCATATTTCCTTGACGTATTTGCTTGCATATGTTGTATACTCGCTTTTTAGAATTCTGCAGACCATGTAAAGACAAGAACTCTTCCTTGCATATTAGTTTGTCAACTTCTTGAACCTTAACATAATATGAAAAAGTCATTGTTCGCGAAGAAGTTTTTCGTTTTGTCTTCTTAGGATAACTTCTCTTTTTAGGTTTAGCTTTTATTGTTCCAAACAGGTAAGCATTTTGCTTGTCGTATGAATCCAAATTCCAAAATGAATTAAATATTGTTTTTTTTATTACCCAAGAGAATTAATGATCTGCATTTATTTTTACAATGGCACTGGGGGCCTATAGGCCTTATAAGGTTCTCGCTTCTGTTTTTCTTCCCTTCCAGTTTTTATAGGAATGACCCAAATTTCTTCGCTTTTTTGCCTTTACTCGCTTTCTATTATCAATATATTGTTGTCGCCACCTGGATTGTACTTTTTTTTCGGGCGATTCAAGAGTGCCTCTTGATGTATTTTGTTCCTAAAATAAGGAGTGAAATATTTTACAAAAAAAGTTAACAAGCCCCAAAACCATTGACCGACAGATCTGTCCTTTCGCAGATAGTGCTGTAAACAGAAATTGTGGCCATAATATTTTAAGTTTTAAAATGTTTTAGCAAACTAAACAAAATCAAATTCAAAATTTAATTAGATTTAATCTAAAATATTATGACATAGTAATAAGCCACTGTTTACCGCACAAACATATTGGTTATTGGGTTAAAAGGTAATAAGCCACATTGTTTTTCAACTTACCGAAATTTCACTATCTTCACTGATTTTGGAAGTGTCACTTGATTCAACGTAATCTTTATCCTTCACACTATCATCTGAGTCGAAGTCTGATTCACTAGAGCCAAAATTAGAGTCATTTTCCAACACTCTTCTCTTAACACCTGTTGCACTTGACGCGGCCATGTTGATTTTTGAGTGGCATGTTCCCTTTTTGCTGCTGAGATGTGCATAAAATATTAAAACCTAAGAAGGAATTTGTTGCACAGTGTTGCCATATTTCGTTAAATTTCTTTGATAAAAATTGTGTGGCTTCTTTCCTTTCTTGTAATGATGATTATGTATTTAAATGAAATTCTTAAAAATTGTGGCTTGTTACCCTCTTTCCCCGAGCCCTTCAATTAACAGACGTGAAAGACTTAAGGCCATACATGAAAGTTTATGAGACTTCGCTTGAAACAAAAGTGAAAAATATTCAGAGACATAATACAAATCGCGAGAACCCCCAACCCTATATACCCGATACGAAAGTTTTTATTAGAGACAAAACCGCCCTTCGTACCAAAACAAAACCCCGATTTATAAAGTCTATAGTGAAGACTGACCTAGGAGATAAGATTAAAATATCCAATGACAAAATTAAACACAAATCTCAAGTTCAAAAACCTAAAGCGTATTGTTCTGTTTTACAGGAAAATGAAGCTAACGAAGCTGATCAATGTTCTTAAAGGTCCTATCCTTCCCTTCTCCTTGGGCAATGCCCGCATTATAGAAAATAAGCATAGTTTTATTTATTTTTTAGAATTAGATTATATTAAAAAACAATTAGACAATATAGTATCATTTTACGATTTAGTTGATAAGACGCTTAACAAATCCTCCCCTTTAATTTCTTTGCCTAAAATTATGCTTAATAATACCCTTAACACGTTCGCTGCGGGAGTTATTTTTAAAGTATGCTCCGTTTTAGTTTTGCACAGGGTGCGTTACGGGGTATATCAGGTTATGCACGGTGTTGCATTTTTATTCGTAACTTTCTACATGCTTAAAGTAGTGACAAATGAAGTGGGCAAAGTAATCTAGAGGCTTGGTTTTATAATTAACTGCGATCGCACGGGGCTCCTTACAGAAATTTACATTTTATTGCAAAAAATCTTTTTTTTTTGTGGCATAAAATAAGAATTAAAAAAAACTTTCCCAAAACTTATTTCTTCAAATTTATTATAAAGTGTTTTTCTTGTTCTGAAAATTCTGAATTTTTTTTCGAATTCTATTTATTATAGTCAATTTATAAAATTTAATTATTTTTATTTAAAAAAGTCATTTTTTAGTGAAAAATATTAATTTTATGACATAAAATTGGAATTAAAAAAAACCTTTACTTTTTCACTTTTTTATTTAATTTTATAGCCAAGACACTTAGGTTATGCGCAGATCGTCAAAAGTCACTGCTTGACGATGAACCCTGTACCGCACACAGTGAGAAATTTATCTTCCAGTGCGTTACGGGCCGTTTATATCCCGTATTATTTTTGGGGCGAATAAAATTAACAATAAAATATGGATTCGATATGTACCAATTACATTTATATATATATATACAATTATAACAAAACTATCACTTTACTTAACGAAAACCAAAAAATAATTAAAAGCAGACTATTTGCTTTCGAATTCAGCATAAATAAAACTATTAATGATATTTCAGCTTATTTAAGATCGCAAAATACAATACATCAAATTATTCTAAATTGTCAAAATTTAATAAATTTTTTAGACAATCTAGAAAACGCAGTAACTTTTGCCAATATAAATATGTTGCACAGTTCTATTTTATCAATAAATGAATTAAATTTAATTATAAATCATTTAACGAAAATCTTTGGTAAGAATAAAATTCATATGTCCAGTAACGTTAACCTTTATTATCAGCTAGCAGCTACTCAAGTTACCTTCACAAACAATAAAATTATTTTTTCAATTCATTTTCCTATATTTTACGAAGAGACCTTTGAGAGTTTTCATATCCTTCCTATCCCAATATAAATAATACAATAATTATTCCAAACCATCCCTACATAATACTTGGCGAAAATCAACACCAATATAGTTTGTAAAAATCTTTTGCAGCCGTCCACCAACACATGCATCGTCAATCTTATCAAAGAAGCCGAAATTCAAAACTGTCAATACTTAAAAATCGAAATGTCCAGACCAATCATAGAAGCCATAACAAATCAATTTATACTATTAATTCCCACAAGTCCAATGAAAATAAAAAAGAAATGCTATTCAAACGATTATTTATTTATTAATAATACAACTTTAATTGATATCCCATCTAACTGTGGAATCCAAATCAATCAATCACAATTTTGGAATAAAAAACAAATCCTAGATGTCAAACCCATTATAGTATTAGTATGAGTATGAGTATGGGAACGTATGGCAGGCCCCAGATATATTATCCTCCACGATCTCCCGGGGATATTTTACCCCCTTTTCGTTCTCCTGCGTATCCCGCCAAATCACAGCATTACCTGTGTTTGTTGGATCCGAAGTTTTTACGCCGGCTGGTAGATCCACCCTAGGAGGTCGTGGAAGACAGTGTCAAAGATTAAGGCCGCTCCCGGAATTTTTGTCAGCCGGGTCGGGCCATACGTCCAGTTTAGGAAGGGTTTTTGGGGGACATTGAACTGACCCAAAACTAAGTACAATCCGGAATCCTCCTCAACCAAGGCTTTAGTAATAACCCCATTTATTTGGTATTCTTGAATGGGGGTAGAAGTGTTAGTACGCTGCTAGAGCCTGTCCTTTTGGTGAATTTCTGTACGTCACTGTCCGAGTCAGTATCAGGTTCCTGGTAACCTCTTTAGAATTGTTTGCCCCCCTGTGTGATACTCAGTCTTGTCTTCCGTATCGAAGAGTTGACGGCCCTGATACCCGTGGGTGCCCTCTCCCTTGATGGGTATTCCTCCTGCCAAGTATCGGCTACCCACCTTGTATATTCCTTATTTATTTTAAAATTATTAATTGTGAACCAGTATCTATATAGATCTTATATAAATATCAATTAATCAATACCAATAATCAATACCAATATCAACCAATCAATCAATTAATCAATATTACGTTAGTATCAATATCCACCAATTAATCAATCAATATTAATATTAATATCAATATCCATAATTCCAACATCAATATTAACATTAATACCAATAATATTAACATCAGTACCAATACCAACACCCATAATATCCATACCAATCAGTCGGTCTATTAATTTATTAATTAATTAACCAGTCTCTCTAATGTAAATACCAATATACAAAATGGATAAATCCGGCCCTGTAGTGTATGTAATGGAATGCGGCAATATGGCATAGGCTGAGTGGGTCTTCCTTCTTATCTATCCTAAATGCATATACAATATTACCTATTCACCAGTGTTGCCATTTGTAACATAATTATCGAATTGTAACATAAATTTTTCTAAAAACAAAGCTTGAAAATTATATGTAACATAACGATAATAGACCTATCCCATAAAACAGACTTTTGGATAGCGCGTGCCTGAAAAAGAGTGGTATCTCTTTCTCTTTTATATAATTAAAAAAAGACGACGTGCCTTTTCACGCACGCGCTATCCAAAAGTCCGTTTTATGGGATAGGTCTATTGTAACATAATTTTTAATCCAAGTATCTGGACAAAATTAACTTAATTCTATCCACATTAATAAATTTAATTAAGCATAAAGCCTGATTTATAGATTTTCTACCTTCCTCCCGTAAAATATCAGCAATACCGTAGTGCTGTTTATAGATTCCCGTACGGTATTTTTAGTTCTAAAGGTAAAGGTAGAGGCAGCGATAGCGGTAGCCAAGTTGGGCATTGAATATTATATAGTTGTCAGAGGAAGCGGTAAGGGAAGTAGGGGCAAGAACGTATACGTTATAGCGGCAAGAGCGGCAAGAGATGATCATTTTTCATCTTTTCTTACCTCAACCGCGACTCCAGCCAATCACACGGCAGTTTTTAGTTGGCAGCCTCGCCTTGTATGTTTAGTGTTTATGCGAGGGGCCGCCATTACCGCTACCGCTATTTTTTGAACTATAAATCCAGCTTTATACTATTTTTAACAAATTTTATAATTTCTAAAAATTCGTTATTATTTTCAACCCTGCTTCTTTCACTTTTTTATGATTAAATTATAATAATTATTATAACATAATTATTACAATTATTGTAACTTAATTTTCCGAAAATTCGGTAATTTTATTTACCCAATTCGATAATTTCAACTTTTACATCTGGCAACACTGCTATTCACACACAACACTTGTTTATGTTATATTTTTGTCTTCTTGCTTGTTTGGTTTATTTATTTATCTTACGCCTTTTTCGATGGTTGTTTATGATTTGTCTGCTATGAGAAAATGAGGTTGTTTATTTAAACTTACAGAAATGTTCTTATTCTTTTTTAAATTTAGTTTTTGAGACAATAAAAAGAATTCTTAGTATTTTCTTTTTGCAACATTGTGAAATGCTTATATAAACATTGTGAAATGCTTTTATAAACATTTAGCGAATATACGGTAAGACATGCAATTGGAAAAATAACTTAGCTTGATTATTAGGTGCTGGAATTGATCCATTTCGCATGCCGCCCGCACGTGTGGTAGCCCAGTAAATTTTATTGGAACTGATCGTCTCTCTCACACCTTTTAACCAGGTCCAACACTTGAGGATTTAATCCAGGGGGAGGTACCACACACAATTTGCACTCTTTTGCACTTAGGACAGTTATCACGTTAAGAATCGATTGATTTTTTATTATTTTACGGCGTTAACCAGTTATCACGTTACTACGTTTGTATCGTATACGCTGCTTAGGAGAGATCTCGTTGAGCATATGCTTACACTTCAAGCGTCAAGACCAAACTGCCTAGATGTCAAACCCATTATATTACCAGAAATACAAAACTGGGAGTCCAGCCAAAATTTAGAAGACAATCCGATTAGCCTAGATTCTATTGACCTTAAAAAAAAATAAAGTTCATCCCATAGCATGGAGTTTGTTCAATACATTTATTACCTTTATAATAATTTCAATAATTATGGACAATTATAAAATATAGACTAAGAAAAATTGCAAACAAGAAAAAAGAAAATTCCAGCGAAA